TAGCAGAGGTATAGTTCCCTTAATTCTAGTCCTTACGTTCAGTTCTTTAGGGAAACCAGTTCAAAGTTGAAATCAGTGTTCTCAATTTAATATATTCACCACTTTGCTTACAATCATAATTTTTGGTAACATACGTCTGATTTTCTTGTATCATCCAGCTTTGGATAATTTGTAACACGAATATGATTTTATAGAATACTAGAAACACACGTTTGAGCATAAAAATTATTGGACAGACCGAGGATTATTGATAATATTGATTGAGACAAGCAAATATAAGACAAACAATCTTATCTACATGCATTCCACTGGCTATGAGCATGGGAAATTCCAATCAGAACGACAAAGAGTGTTGAACTGACACTTAAGCCATAGACATAAGCAATACTAACAATGGAAATATAGCAAGTGAGAATTCGTCTTTCGCATCAGCCACCGCCTCTTATATAGGCGTGTGTGTGTGTGTGTTCTATCAAAAAGCCTATATTTCTATTCTTCCACTTACTACTCAGGTTTTTATCTACTGTTTGCCAAAAGAGAAAAACTATTTGATTTGCCCTCCTAAATAGAAAGAAATATTGTGATGAAAAGAAATTTTTCCTATAAAGGTAAGTTAGGGGTTAAAGATTCAAAAGTTAGTTATTTTGAAATCGATAATTATGTCAACTTCTTATAACTTCTGGAAATTCTTAGCTACATCGAACTTGAAATTACTTCGTATACCCGATTAACAAAATGATTAAATATACAAATGGTATAAATAAATTATATTTAATGGAACCTCGATTATTAGGAAAAAAACTGTTTGCTACTTTGTTTCTCAGTACATATAATATTCTATAAGTCAAGAATAGATTCTAGCCAATGGGCAAAATAACATTGTCTCTGAAGTAGGTGTTAGGTAATAACATTGAAAATAAATAAATTGACAAAATTTCAGATGGCTTAAAAACTAGAAAAATACTACAATCGATATTAAGTGTGTCAATTTTAGCCTAATACAACAATTTTGTATAGTCTAAGACTGACCATATGGTTGGTATGATCCTAAAATATTAGCAAAACATCAATATTCCATGGAATAAAGATACTTCCATCTGATGAGCACTTGTTTATAGCTTCTACTCAATGGGCTTTAATTTAATGTGTGAAAAGCGATACATATATTTTATATTCAGTTGGTACAAGGTTTCATCATTCTGGAAAAATGAAAATAAGATTCGATGGGTTGTGGATAGTAGTGTAATTCAAGATCTGCGTTTCGTCCTACTTAATACTCGTCAGATGGATGTACGTGCAACCCAGTATTGTTGTTCGGCGTTGAGAAGTAGTTGATGTGATTTTGATAACTTTGCTATGAACGACCGGTTTATTTTAATAATTCATACTGCTTATCGGTAGTTTCAAAGACTACTAAGCCCATAAAGACTCATGCAATTAGTTGGTTCGGAATATCACAGTTGTGTAGTTCCAACATTTTACTGCTGGATTTCATTGCTAACTACAGAATAGCTATTCTATATAACTTATGACAAAATAGTAATTCATGCAAGATGCTCAACAAAGGCTAGTCAAAATGCAGTCAACAATATAAATAACAAAATAATCTAAACTTTTTCTACTAATGATATGGAAGCAAGAGTATGATCCCGTTAGAATCTAACTTCTAGCAGGTTTTTAGAAAACAGACTGGATCACTGGTTCTACGTAGTTTTTGAATTTTGTTTGCTCAATTTTAAATCGATATGCAGAATCTTCGGTAAACTTGATGTCTGTTTTATAATTGATAAAAGCCTCGGTTTGTGAGGTAATCAGTCAGTACAAAGGCCCAGGATCTTGTGTTAACATGTTTCAAAAGTAAGAAATTCAGAATGAATGGTCAGTAATGGTTACAGAATGTAAACATGGAAAATAACTGTCACTATTATTGAACGACTAGATTAATCAGTACCATATGAGCGGTTATTTGAAGACACCATGGCATATTGACACTCACTGAATACAAAATATTCGTAAATTAGAAAGATCACAATAAAAACAAACAAACTGAACAGTAACTAATTTGAGTCACAGTCATTCACATCAGAAATAATTTAGGTTAAAATTGGAGGAAATAACGAATAAACTGCATTATACAAAGTATATTCATCAGATGCTGTGGTCACATCATATTACTAGTGTCATGAATACTTGGAAGCATAATTATTTTTAAGCATCATTTTCAGTTACTTAGAAACACAGTTATACGACAACATTTTTTAAACACAAATTGTGTACAGAATTCAAAAAGTAGGCTAGTCAAATGTGTCACTATACAAACTGTCAGTATTTGATCTGTCAGATAAATAATACTTCTAAGTAAATTATTTTGTCATCTCACTTTAAATAGATCTTTTAATTAAATGTTGAGTAAATTAGGTGTTAAAACTAAGATGCTGTATCCTTGAATAAATTATACTTCAGAAAGCAAATTCAAGATACTTGTGTTAATTGAGCATTCAGATTCGTATTTACTAGCCTCAAAGACGTTAAAAGGGTGAAAACAGAATCAATATTTATCTACCTTAGTAACATTAGTAAACACCACAGTTTCTTTCTCTTCATTTTTCAAAAATAACAATAAATTCAGTATAAAATGAATTTTTTCTTTCTTAATTAGTTATTTCTTTGCAAGACAAACTTATCTTTGACAATATCCCTGCGCATAACTCAACATTAAGAAATCTTTCAAGTATTTTCATCCTAACTGAAGTCTTAAACAATTTCTTGTTTATTGATAGATACCTTGTTTTCATATCAGCTATTAACTGTTTAAATTATTTAAACTTATCAAATCGAGTTCAATCTTATGCCAAAGAATCGTTGTTTACTGTAAAATTGTCTTGTTCATGCTGTGTTTCGATGCATCAATAACAGCAAAAAATTGCTGTTTGATTAAAAATCTTCAGATTTAAACACAACATTCAGGAATGAAATCGTTATTATTTGAAAATCAGACGAATATTTTATGACAGATATGTTCTGATCATGAAAAGCAAATAATACGTTAATGCAAACATTCGATATGTGTAGACATTAACGTTCGTTTTAAAATTAGTTGGCAACGTAAATCTGAAGGCTAATGAATAGGTTCTCACTTCAATACCTTAAAATGAATTTACTAGTTTTTGTCTCGCTATAAGCACTAATGAAATGTTTCAAGTGACAAAAGAAATGTGTTATATACTCACTAGATTTAGTTAATCTTCCAAACCATACTCACTATTTATGGTGAAAACTTTTTTGAAATGACTAATCATCATCGAATTCGTCTTCTGAATTAGTTAATTAGTGAAGAGTGATGAACCAATATGAGTGCTAAACTACAATAGGATGTTTGTTTGAAAATTGAAAAAAATTGATAATCTATGCATAACGGAGACATGAATAGCGAAACATGTAAAAGCGAGGATTTTCCTGATTTAATTTACAACAAAGTTTAATATAAGTGGGGAAATATAATGTTTAGGTTTATATTATAAGGTGATGGCTACAATTTTTTGGGTTTACTTCACTTTTAAATGCAAAGATTTGATATTCCCAGTTTACTCGCTTTGATAACTCAAGTTTCTTGAAAATATTTAACCTTAGTTGGGTAGATTGACAAATTATAGAATAATTATTTAAAAAATTAACTGAAAAAATGAATGAGAATCTTAAGTTACTAGTGAAAAGTTTAGGTGATTTATAATTCACAGGCAAGTGAATCATAAATACACAACAATCATAATTATTTAGCATTTTTACGACAAATCACAGGGGTTTTATGCAACTGAATAGCCTGTAATAATTTATTTTGATCCGGAACATATTTAACCTTATAAATTGCATTTGTGTACGTGGATGTTATTCATTCAAGGATTTTACAGTTTCGACAACAGTGAGTTATCATGGGCATTTAAAAATTCAGTAACAATTGTCTATAGGATAGATGTAGGGGGATTAAAAGGTATACTAACAAGTGGAATATCTTTAAACCACAGCTTACTAGAAATTATTCAATTAACTGCCACGCACTCAGCAAGTCTATTTCTTTCACAACAACAGTCAGATAATGTAATGCCTCTAGTTTATTTCCTGTGCAGTCTGAAATTATTCCCGAAAATTCTAATTAATGAAATAAACACTGCTGAATTTCTGTTTCAATGAATTTTTCATAAATGTGTAACTCATAATTTCATTTTCTGGCTTAACTAGAATTTAAACTATGTCAATACCGAAATTTCAAGTTATTAACAAACTGTTGCTACTGCTATCATTTATGGTTGGTGGAAATCGTTATTATGTGTATATTCATTTTGTATAAGTAACTGTTACATCAAGACATTACTTTGAAATAACGCAAATATTATTAAAGTGAACAACATGTTTACCAACTACTTTCATAAACCATTTAAAACCCGCTTTATAGATTATGCGTTCGGTCATGGTTGTGTGTCATTAATTTTTTGTGATCGTGAATATTCAGGTTTCTTCATATTCATTTTCCAAACTAGGCCACATTTTCCCAGGAAATTTCAATTATTTTTTTTCCATCTAACTGTTCTTTTGAGGTTTTTCACATAATTAAATCATTAGTTCTTTTCTTCTTTGATTGGAAATACCAGATTAGCCTAAACATTTGGTGGTATTGAGATACAAGACAGGTAGAAAAGTAATACTGGAAGCCTTTTCATCATCATAGTAACGAAACACATGATTAATACATATATCTCGACTGACTATAATTAAACTCAGAAAATCATTGTCTTTTTATAATAGCACGAGAAAAACAGCAAAATTAGCAATTATCACAGGTTCCTTTAACACCATTCAGTGGGATTTAAAAATTCAGTCGAAGTTCATATTCCTTCCGTTATATTTTAGAAATGTCACTAACTTTCTAGTTCTAACGACAATTGGATAGAGAAAATTGGTATTTTAGTTAAATAAATAAGTCAGACACTTGGTATTCAACTTACATAATGTTCTCTGCTGAATAAATCTAAGCTTGCTCGCAGTACGATAAGCTGCAAAGCGGATGGAATCAAACTGCTTGGTACCTAAAATTCAAAATGAAAATAGTACATTGGGAAAGGATTAGTCAGACACTTAGTAAACAAATATTTTGGATAAACAAACAGACAACTTAAATTCACCGGATAAATTAACTCTTAGATGAAATCTAAGCGATTAATACAAGTACTTGTTTAGTTTTTGCAAATTACACTCTATCTAGAAACTGTACACGTCAGCTTATTTTAAACCTATATTATATTAAAGACAGCTTATGACAAAAGCATGTTGACAACAATTCATGCATCCGAGCTTTTGACCTGACTGTAATGAAGTAATAAAACATAGATAACTTCGTTCTGAGTTAGTATAGAGTTAGTAACCAATGTATAAACGTTATTCCCTCAATCCTTGTCCAAACAACAAAACTTTACACACATTTCCTTTAAAACAACGTTAACAACAGGGATAAAATGATCAAGTAGGAAACTTTTAATTTCAGTATATATGAATAAAACTGTTGAAGAATCTGGCACGAAATAATACGTATCGACATAAGAAATGCAAAAGATGACGTTTCTATACACTTTTTTATACTTTCGTAAAGCTGTCTTGTTTTCCTGAGTATAAAAATTTCAAACAGCATGGAAAGAGGTGGGTTAATTTATAAATGGATTAAAAAATGAGTCACTAATGATAAATTGAAACAAGATTTGAAAAAAAAAGTAAGTGAGGCATGGATTCCAGCAGTAGGATAGAATTTGCATTGATCAACGAAACAAATTCAATTTTTCTGAAATATTACTGGTGTTTATAATTAATACAAGTAAGGAGACTAAAAAGCTGAAAGCCTAATAAAAGTCCATATTTTCTCTACACTTTTATTTTTTCTTCTTTGTTTCAAGATGGACCTATTAATTCTCATAAAGTATTTGAACTAAGTTTATTGAGTGTATTATTTACTTACATTTGTTAACAGACACATCTTTTGGAACACAAAAAATTTGTCGAAATGATTGTGTAAACAGCTACTTAATTTGTGGTTTTTGTATGTTGAGAGGCACCAACTTTGTTCAACTCAAAAGAACGTAGTGTTGTTCATTCTATTCATACTGCTAAACATTAAGATCCATCTTTCTGGGATACAGATGTTCACTGAGAAGCAAAGTAACATCCAGAAGTATGCCAAGCATTTTTAATAATAAAACTTCTGGGATATCAGTTGGTTGTGATATATTTCAAAGAGACTATCACAAAACTTTAAGATAAGACAGGATATATTTTATCATGAATTAATGAATACAGCTAAATGCACTGTTTCAAAACATTCCGAAATTTATATCCTTTCCCACTCTGAATATAAGTTAGCTGTAAGTTTTATTTAGCTTCTCTTGTTACTATTTAACAAACATTAAGCTTTTTAATCAGAATTAACTCCAAATATTCGGGATATCATATGGTCTGTACTGTTGAATATTGGCTACTGGGTTTATGGTTTATTGATAAATGGATCTTTGTAAATGTTTACAAAATCTGCTTACATTGAAACTCACGACTTAAATCTTTATTTATCTATGTGGATTACATTCAGGTTCACTAACACAAATGAGATTAAATTAAAAACAAAATCATGAATAAGAATTTGATAGTTTCTGTATATGACACCGTATCAATTATTAAGCAGTTTACTTGTCCAGCTGATTCAGTGTCTATATAAATGGATTGGACGTTATGTTATCACTGGTGACCATAGGAAGACGTCATATATTCTGGACTACTTTTATTCAGTAGCGTGTATTGGTAAAATATATCAATTCAACTTAAAATTGTAAGTAAACTAAAGACTTGATTCTCCAGAGATTTGTTGGAATGCCAGCTGTGTTAAACGCCTATTGAATACTGTAAACTTCAAGTGTAACAGGATGACTACGTTTTATATGATACAATACTATTTTAAAGTTTGGCTAAAACTGGCTGATCCTCTTTTAGGGTGCTACCTGACCTTTCATGTTTTATATACAAAGTCTAAAATCAATTGCTTTGAGCAACTGGTAAATTTGAACCAAAAAATTTTTTTATTCATAAATGGTGCGTTTCGCAAGTAACTTCGCCGGGAAAATTCAGTTAGGATGATAAATTTTATCATCCTAACTGGTATTAAAGTGAATAAGATCCGAAGTAGGGAAAACCGAAATATTATCTAACGCAAAATTAGTTATTTGGTACAATGTGGAAACCATACATTAAATACTTTATTTGGAAAATTTCTATCAATTGTCTCAAACTCCATCGTTCTTTCATTGATGTTACAAATACTCTCTGTTTATATTCCCGCTCCCTTCAATTAGATCTTTTCAACTTTCTGCTGCCAAGTATTCCAATTCTGATTGGTGTTACATACTACTTATGTCGACAGACATGAGTAGCACACATTACATCACTAAGAACCACTAAATATCAGAAAGCGTCAGATAGTCGTTTGTACTATTTTTACACTACTAACAAGAGGACGCCTACGAACCAATGGAGGCTCGAACACAGTACCTTCAGGTTTTGTGATGAGGACATTTTCGAAACCGAACGCCTGATCTCGTCCTTCATGCATATGATGGAAACAACAACAAACTCTTAACCATTCAGGAATACTACAACTCATAAGAGTAAAAGCGACTGTTGTGCTACTTTATCTGTGTAGTCTAAATTCAAATCAACACACCATATAGTGGTTCTCATAGTGAAACAGACGTGACCTTCGGTAAGGAGAATATAGAAATACTAAAATCTATCGATCATATCGTATTCAGTTGTAACAAGCACTTATAGTGATACATTTAAACACATAGAGAGGGAGGGCTGTATACTATATGAAGTACTTACATACAACATATTCCCTGTGCCATGTGCGAAAATCACGCTCAATAGCATATGTAATTAAATACGTTGGATGAATAACATCACAAATCAATTTGGATAGTTGAGAGATGCATCAGATAAGTACAAACTAAAAGTTACAAAAAATTTACGAAAAGTTTCTAAAATAGTGACTAGATTCTGTATAAAGTTTTGTCTACTGATTAAGCAATACATTTGAACCAGACTTAGTGCTGACTGGAATTTAGTACTTCATTTCAATTGATTCTCCGCACACAATATATTGGATACTGTTTATCGTAATACTATCACATTACAAACTTTGAAATTTGTCATTGAACAGTGAGGACATTTATTTCAAACCTATTGGTCATGATGTTTAGTGGATGGTGTTCACACATGTAATGACCATTTGATCTTAATCAGGATCTATATATCAAGGACACATACCACTGAGTAGGTCATGTACAGAAAGACTTGCATTAAATACATTTACTGGTAGTCTGAACTTTAGTGAAAATAACACTCAGACTGCTGAATTTTACTCAATACTTACTGAACGACGTTTCACAAAGGAAGACAGTGCAAATCATTTGGAAATATCAAATGTAAAAGGACATACTACTTTACTTGGAAATAATAAGTTGGCTAGCAAGATCAGAGAGGCAAGCCCCAAGTTTGAAAGAACACGTGGAGGGGCCAGTTCTAATAATTGGGAATTAATTTCTTCACACAGATGTTGAACTTGACTTTGGATAAAAATCCTCTCAAGTGGTAATTAGGTGGATTTCCCCTCGTTGATTGGTGATATTGGCTTGTTTATGAGATAACAAAAACGATATGTAATTTTGGCTTAAATTAACAGTAGTCTTAAGTCATTTGTCGTTTGTTATTTTACAGTAAATATTTCATCGTAACAACACGTAACTTCATGAGCACTAATCTGACTATAATCGTCCACGATCTCACTCAACAAATGTTAACGTTTGTAAATGTAGTCTATTGTCTAATAGTGTTAGCCGCCAACAGAATGTGTTTTGAAAACTTTATTGTAAATAATGATGACAGCTTAGCTAAGTTGTAAATTTCTTTAGATTAATTATTATTTATTTAGGAGTTTTAACCAAATTGTGACTGTACTCAGTTTACTTACAACTTGAAAATTAAAGTTTAATATGGATCACCAAATTAGAACTGAAAACGTATGTTAGTTGATATACCAGATAATCTAGTAGAGCTTAAAATACATTTATGAGACAGCTTGGATTATTCTAATCTGATTTTAACGTTTATGATTCTTTTCGAAGCCCATTCCATCCAGTCCCGATAGAAAATATTAGCTTCGAGGGAGATACTGTTGTACTTTGATTATGAAGAACAAAACGCCTCGCACACACAGGGAGTTCAGTCGATGTATTCAAACAAGCATGAAAAGCACTTATAAGATGAGAATCTCATGGATCCAGAATCATCAAAGCATTCCTCAAAACAAAAGATGAGGGGATTACAATGAATGTCGGTGAACGCTACTCTCCCACCAAAGGCAGCAGTGAGTATGATAAAGATCAGTTTTATGAGAGGTTGCAGTCAATCGTAGAGAACTGCCAAATGCAAAGACCTGGCAATTCTGAGGATGGTGAACGTGAACATCAATGTTGGTATGGATAACACCGTGTCTGAAGGCATCATGGAGCGACATGAACTGGGAGAAAGAGGGGGAGAATGGTGAGAGACTGGCAAAGTTAGGTGCTATCAACAACATTTTTGTAAGTGGCACTATTTCAACTAATAGGCGCATATACAAGTTAGATGAGTTTCAATGGACCACGTAGAAGCAAACTGGTCACATTTGTATCACTGAAGAATTCAGAAGGTCCATGGAAAACTTGAGAACAAAGAGAGGAGCTGACATAACTTCAGGTCGCCACCTGGTTGTAGCCAGGGTGAAACTGAAGCTTAAAATGCACTGAACAACTGGAAAAATAGCATTACAAATGTTTAATACAGTCTTTCTTTGAGATACTAACAAACTCAATGAAATCAAGATTGTTTTCAGTAACACGTTACCATCCTTCAAATTCTACTCAAAAAAAGACGAGATTATCACGGAGAACAATCGGAAAGAGATCAAGAAATCACTAACTTCAACGTGTCAGGAGGTAGTGGGCCTCAAGAAGCATCATCACGAGCAGTGGATCTCTATCAAAACCCTATCGAAACAGGATTCAAGAAAATAAAAACAAGAAATCGGCAATCAATAGCAGTCGGACAATAAGAGAGAAGGCCGAGACACAGACCGAACACACAATCAAAGAAGAAAGTGAAGATGAGCATTAGAGCCTAAAAGCGGGAGTACATGGAAGACCTAGCAGTGACAGAAAAAAAATCCTCAAGAAAAGGAAATACAAGACAACTGTGAGATACAACGAAGAAACTAGTAAGGAAATATAGTTAATCACTATACATCAACTTCCTTGACTACGGTGAATCATTTGACAATGTGGATAGCTTAACCTCATGGAATCTTCCTCGACACTAGGGTGCACCAGTAAACATCATCAACATCAAACGGAATTTATACGACGAGCTACAGTGTGGAGTCGTCCACGGAGAGCAGCTCATAAATGCATTTCAAGTGAAGATCGGTGTCATCAAAGGCTGCTTACTCTCGCCCTTTGCTTCATTGTAGTGGTTAACTGGATTATGAAGACCACCGCATCTCAGGGGAAGCACTGGATATAACGGACTTCTTGGATGTGGCTAGAGTTTGGACTTCTAAGATGACTTAATTCTTATATCTCATACACACTAACAAATGCAGGTGAAAACAACCAGTGTAGCAGAAGTATCTACACCAGTGGTCCTCAACATGCACAACGGCAAAGGGAAGGTCTTAAAATATAATGCAGAGAGGACCAGCATTCCTATAACTGGAAAATATATAGGACTCAGACCCAGTACCAAACAACGCCAAAGTCAGAATGTTCAATACAAACGTCAAGACAGTTCAATTGTACGAAGTTGAAATTTGGAAAACTATTAAAACCATCATCAATGTGGTACAGGTTTATGCAAGATATCCCAAATCTTTTGGCCGAATATCATCAGCAACAGTCTACAGCTGGGCAGAATAAAAAACTTTCAGACGAAGAGGAAATAAGGAAAAGGCACTGAAGTTGGATAGGACATGGGAAAAAACCGAAAGGGAGATCCAAGAACGGAGGTGGTTGTAGAATCGTGGTAAGCAGTTTATGCTGCTGAAAGAGAGGTATCAAGTGTAAGTAAGTAATCAACTTTGGCACTGAACGTACTTGACATACATCAGCATACATCACCAAATTATGAACCTCATGAATAATCTACAGATGCTACTTTATCAAAAACCTTGTGTATTTAATGCATTTGATTATGTTTATGTTGAAATATCAAACCGTTGGAATTCAATCCCTTTCTCTTCATCATATTTCTTTTTCAAATTTCTCAGTGTATATTAAGTACTCTCAAATGGTTTCCCACTATTTTTCTTGCTCAAAATTGTTTAGTCTTTTCAGCAGTTGCTTAAATATGATTCTTTATGGCAAAATGGCAAATAATTAGAGGTCTTTGAAATCGGTTTTGTTTAGTAAGATTACAGCACTTCTAAATTATCAAGTTTATTCCAGAATCCCAGATAACATTTGTGACAACACTTATTATTCATGTTTCTCCATAAAAGGCCGTTAAGCTCGAAGTTTCTTGTTTATAATATTCATTTGTTAAGCAGTTATTACAATAAACCAAATATATGGTGACTTACGCATCTCCGCTAATAGTCGTCTAAATCCCAAGGAGGCTGGATTCGGTGAAATAAGGCTGGGGTTTTGCAAGCCTGATCTGACTGGTCCGGCTTGTATAACGTTTAGGGGGCTTTGGAAAACAGGATTAGAACCTCTTTGTTGTTGGAGCTGTAGCATAACTTGCTGCGAATGTCCTGAGTTTGTTAAATGTGAAGGGACAACTTGAGAAGTATTTTGATCCATAAGCACTGGTGGTCTGCATAGATTCGGTCTAATCCACGTTGTTGATTGGCTGTCAATCTGTTGTGCTCTCATTGAAAAGGAATGAAGGCTAAAACATCTACTCCCAAATATTATACTATTTTATGAAACTGTTCTTTATGACAAAGAAAAGAAAGAAAAAATTAAGTCTAAACCTTTTAAGACACGAACAGCATATATCTAGGTACTTATCAGTATAACACTATAAAAGGAGTATAATAAGTTCAAAATAAATCTTAATTTTAGTAATCGTCTGCTATTTGTCTGTATCATGTTACTAACAAACAAAAGAAACACTGCACGATAAAGAATCTTTCAATATATTATTGTGTTTTTTTCATTACCTTTTATATCAAACTGTTAAAATTTTATCATTACAAACCTTTAGTATACAATTAGCTCATGTTTATGATAATCATGGAGAAATATAAAAGGCACATTAACGGTTGATTGATTTGAATTACTCATTTTTGATATATCTGATGTCAATAGAAGTGTCTTAGATATGTGCTTAAGTAGAAATATTTCATATGAATTGATGTTATTCGTACTTTGATTATTGAGTGATAAAACGTTTCAGTATCCTTCTTCATTACTTGTTAGAGAAAGAGATATACCTATAAATAAGCACTTTTTCACGTTTAGTAACCAGATTTTAAATTATTTAGTTATTTGTGGACATATAGATTAGAATACTTTCCTGATGACTAAAAAGAGTGAATTTCTGTTTACTTATATACTCCGTATGTTTATAAATGCAATTATCAAGAAAGACAGTATTTCTGAGTTGATTCGAAATTTTTTTAAATTTTCGCTAAAGCAGTCATATTAGGAGTGTGAAACTACAAAAACAGTTTATTCAGGGTTATGAACATTAAGTAACAACAACAATAAACGTAGGAACTTTGATTACTTTTCTTACTTCCATTATAAGCGAGCATTGAAGTGCTAGGTGATCGGTTGAATTAATACTTAGGGTCTAAGATGCCTAAGATATATTTTACGGCATGAAATTTATCAAACTGATGATATATAGAGAGCATCATAGACTCAGTATTGTGACACACAAAACATGAACATTTAGGACTAAATAATCCAAGAAGCGTAGTAAAAATAAACTTATAGGTACATTACCGATCAGTCAGTCGTAGACAATTTAGGACCTTGTACAAATAGGTTCTTGCCCAAATAATTAAGTTTTATATAAAGATAGAAACGGGTGAGTCGTAATATAATAAGTGAGATTAACAAGTTAAAAATTCTAATGTATTTTAAAACAAAATAAAGGATCATGGAACGAAATATATCAGGCTGTATTAGGATAAAGATTTTGAGGAAAGTATAAGTAAACACAAGTAAACCGCTGCAACTGGCCAAAAATCAGTCCATAAAAAGTCTTGGTTTAAAAATAAGAAAAACAATTGCTTATATACATCCGGAGACATTTATTTACATAGCCAGTGTTAGAATTTAAAAAATGTACTTCTACGCCAGCTGACAGCAACTCAGTCAATCAGGGGTCTAAAATGAATATGCGCGTAAGGTATTCAAAATCAGAGGCAGATTCAAATAAAATTAACCTTTAACCAATACCATGAACTCAAAAGTAACTAATATTTTAAGTGTTTACGATATATTAAGCTTGAAAAATTACTTGATTACACTTCTAGATGCCCACCAAACGAAATCGACTGAATGATTTATAAATGCTTATACTTACTTGTTTGACTAACTAAGATTTACGAGCAACTTCAAAAAATGTATTGGATCAATAGCATTAAGTAAACGGTAGATAGAAGTTGGTCATCTAGACTGTAAAGTGTAACACACATAAATAAGTTTTGCGTATTATCATTTTTTGCAGTTTCTACAGTGTGATCCGAACAAATGATTTTGCTGCAAAATACAGTGCGAATTCCGAGCTTTTAGCGAGATTAATTAGTATTTTTTTACTAATCTTTTAACATACGATTATCAAAGTACCACGAACGTTGGTTCAATAGTTTTGTCATATACCAACACCACTTTATACTGGGATATTTCCAATGTGATCAGATTGTTACCAAGCCTGTAAAACACTACCATTTACGAGAGACGGATAACCTAGGATATGACGAAGTCATAATGTACACTAAACTAAGTAATCATCGACTCAATATAAGTTCCTCCTCTTTTATCGACATCAAAACCATTCGGTAAGTACAACAAGTGTTGAACCGAAAAGTCAGAATAACTCACAATTACTTGAAGTACAGTTTTTCTGTCGTACAACAAAATACTCAGACATCCTTGTTGTTTTTAGTAACCTAGTAATTGCTACAAAGGTTTTCCTAGGATAAACCTCAAAGTATAGCAGGCACAACATACTAGTTATGTCAAAATTTATCATTAAAAGACGCATCATAAAAAAATAATATGTTGTATCTTAGTCAGAATAACATAATAGTACGGCACAGGCTTACGAAATTCAATGATCTGGAATACTGAGCTGAGCTTGGAAATGTTTAGTAAGTAGAAACATCATAAACCCAAAATTCAGTTGTATAGGAAGGTTATTCAAACACTGGATCCTCAAATAGTCAGAATCATGAAAAAATAATGTGAACTAATTGTTTTTGTGGACTATAAACAAAAAGGAAATCCCTATTGATATGATGTCGATAACATGGAATTATACATTAATAAAGGTTAATATTATGAAATCGCAGTTTTAAAGTCAGGATACTGCAAAGTGAGAAAAGTAAAAAACGTTTACATAGCTGAAAAAACTAAATGATCATGACTTGTGACAGAAAACCGTCTCACCAAATATGAAAAGGCGACTGTTACATCAAGTACATACGATGAATGCAATGTGGTACAAACAAACAAAAATACGTAATGCACATTTCGTTATGTAGTTTCTTTTGCTTTTCATCATCAAGCACTATGATGCTATCGCAGTAATGTTTATGCCCGCTTTGAAGGCAAGTTTTTCATGAGGAGGATTACTATGTACGCATGAAATAGGAATTATTGTAGCGGCAAATTGATCCCCAGAATAAATAGTTCTGCAAGTCTTCGACATTGATGCTGAACCCACTAGTTTTATTGGACATACCTTGCTGAAGGTGCTCAGTCACTCATCTGCACCAGATCACGAGTAGGTAAGCCTAGTAACTCATCCCGTGTAATTGTCAAATAGCTTAAACTAGACGCTTCAGGATATATTGATAGCCTTCCAAAAATATCTTTGAACTGCTTTTTTTCTGACTTCTGATTTGATTGGGTCGGCTTGCTTCGATCATAACAGTGTTACGAGTAAAAGACTTGTCGAACTCCGAATACATGTGGCATCTTTACGACTCAATAACTAAAGAAAATCTCAAATCGATGACTCAGTGAATACTCAAGAAACACTTTGTTAGGTAACCACTGAAGAACTTTACGAAGAAACAGTCAAAACTTCAAAGTAATGTGGGGTTTGAAAAGACAAATATACAAGTGGAATTTCTCAGGTGTGTCTGGAGAAAATACTTCACAATCACAGGCAAATATATAACTTTGTCCAGTGTGGTTAATACATTTAGCACACATTTAGCTGATAAACTTCGTCTTCTCATTGGATTATCGAAAAATACATTTAGCAGAAAAATAAATGTTTTATGGAGTGTTTTAGTCTGTCTTTATGATTCAATAAAATTTGACTTCTTGTCTGAGTCCTATCTTAGTTACAGAACACTTGAGGAAACAAGCAAATCGTTAGACCACTTCAAATTCAAGAAGCTATTTCTAATTTTACGATATTTTGTGTTCCCAGTGTATTGAACCATGGTTGATACATGTTAAGGTGAATCATTACAACGTAGGTAGAAAATGTGACCAACCTGCTAACGTCGTACTCACACCTCGCGACTAGTACCTGACGTGAATCACCCTTTCTCCGTATCCAGGCACTAATTCTACTTTAATGGCCCTGTAACACAAACGACGTTGTCAAAGAGATATTTTATTAAGGTTATATACAAGGAACAGAGTGCTATCACTGATGCATGGGCGAGCCTATGGCGTGCAATAAATCGATGGACCTTAGTTGTCCTCAACCTTGATGAGAATCAGTGAACCGGTTATACCAATAAATCAAATAAAACATTCCGGCTGTAGAGCACGGATTGTGAGAAGTAATGAAAAGAGTTAGAAAAAATCATAGTTTTCTCAGAGACTTCCAATCTACTGACTACTTAGTCACGATGGGAGTGTTGTTTACGAAATGGAGAGAACGAAAAACGAATGTTCAGTGCTTTAACCGGGTTGATGGGCACGAAGATCCACTCAGGAGAGATGGCAAACCCTGATTCCAAACCGGTGGTGCACATGGGCTCCAGGATCCTCAGGGAACAAATGGCGTATGAACCTATTGTTCGTCACCGGCCTCCATGGGACTGCATCTCTAACGTTGCTCCACTACATAGTAGATTAGACCTTCAGGTCAAATGTTCGAATGCGGTCCCCTAAGAAGACCATCTACTTCGGTTTGGGCACCCAAGTAGTATCACAGCCCTCACACAAATCAATGACAACTACACCTGGAAAGTTTCCTCTTGCTTCAGCGCCCGTACATATCTTAACATTCATATGATAACATTCGTTTTTATTTCTCTTAGACCACACACTAATGCAGATCGGACAACAGATAAGATTGGTTAAGTTTTTAGAGAGTATTAATTTTGATATCTGTTACCTATCGGAGACCCGTATTCAATACTCTAGTGAAGTACCACAAACCCATTCTCCATCTGTCGTTTCGAAAAGCTTGTCTCTCATAAATTTGCACGGGGACCCTGTGGCATTTTCGTCTGGTCTTGCTGGTGTCGCACTAAGCGCTAGAGCTGAGAAAACACTAATCAATTGGGTCCCCATTAACAGTCCGTTATGTGCTGTTAGATTAGAAAGTTCCATCAAAGTGAGAAGAAATCGGCGTGAGAAACGATGTCTTTTTTATTTTATCTCCACCCATGCCTCGACAGATTGCAGCCTGGATGCCATCAAGGATGAACTCCACCACCAGTTAACTTTTCTTCTTCAGAAAGTGCGTTCGACAGATATTGTAGTACTAGTCAGAGACTTGAATGCTCAGGTCGGGCGTCTAGGCACAGAAGAGAGTCGTTTAGGTGGCCGATGGGGGGAATTGTTGGTCGCAGGACAGATAACGGGGACTGTTTACTGCAACTGTGCACAGACCACAACCTGTTTCTGGCTAGCACTAACTTCCGGCACAGTCATCGCCGATAAGCCACCTGGCGTCCTCCCTATGCATCTCAAGCCTGGATTCAGATTTATCACATCGCGATCAGTTACCGCTGGCGTGGTTGTGTACAGGACTGCCGCTCCTTTTGGAGTACCTATCTGGACTCTGATCATGCCCTGGTCTGCGCCAATCTTTCCTTACTTTTCAGTTGCCAGCAAATTCATCGTCCCAAACGGTTCAGTGCCAGTAAATTGGTTGCGGCTTATGTTGCAACTATATATCAAACCGAGTTAGGTCCAAGTTTAGCTACCATACCATCAGAAAACATTGGTTGCAATTGCATGATGCCATGAAAATGGCGAGTAAAGTCACTTGTGTGTTCGCGAAACGTCCCGCTTATAAGCACTGGGTTTCTTCAGGCTCCTTACAACTCGTCGAAGTCCGTCGGTCTACTCCGGGTGACAGTGAGTTTGACCACAAACGAAGGATGTTACGTAATGAAACTGAGAAAAGCTTGCGTAAGGACCAAGAAGCCTGGTGGTCGAAGCGTGCTAATGAGTTGGAAGCAGCAGCTGCATCTGGTAACTACCGGAAGCTCTTCCAACTCATCCGAGCCACTGGCAACAAGAAGTCTGATGTGATCGAAACAATCTGTGAAGATGACGGGATGCCAATCACTAGCATCCACCGACCTCCTGGACTATGGGCAGAGTTTTTCGAGAGACAGTTCAGCTGATCTGTTGCTGCGGCAAAATCGATCAAACTGCCCTGCTCTCCATACCCTGTGACGACTGATACACCTAACAAGGCGGGAGTCCTCAAGGAACCCCGAATCCGAAGCTTCAGTATCGTCTGCCAATGCTGCAGTCAGTGTTATTGATGCTTCTATTATCCAGTTCTCAACAATCATCATAATTTTCCCTAGTCTCATTCTAGATTGAGCAAAAAAGTTCCTCTTCCAGCAGACTTTCTCTTCCAACAAATATTATATCGAAAGACAGCATCATAACGGTAGTCTACACAAGGTATTCAAGTCATTTGATCGTCACGATCACAAATAAAGGAAATTCTTAGTAGTCCCTTTTGTTGTACCCTCTTAATTATAGTGTCTTCTTTAAAATCTGATGTGAACCAACAGTAGGTGAACATCACGCACTGAAATCGGCGCAGTAATTTTGAAATCCCTCTAGCGCTTTCAATTGGCTCGTGCATAAATTATAGTCTCGCCCACTCTTGTTATATTTTTGTTAACTGAACTGTTTCTCCCCTTGCTATTATTTCACTTTTATACACTAATTTCTGTTCGTCGTAGTTCCTCTTTTATTATACACACTTTACATTCTCTATCTTTTCCCAACCTCACCGTTATTGTGTGGCAGATATGTATTTGGTGCCCCCCGTACCAATGTTTATGTGTTAAAAGATATAAAAGTTTCTTCTAAGTAGTGTTGTTTTTTGAACTTGCTCCCTTAGTGCATACTATGTACTTAACACTGATGTATCATCTCTGGGTGTTGATACCGTGTTGGAGTAGGAAGGTAGACCAGTAATCTGTGTTTCACGCAAACATACTGATGCTGAACATGGTTATTCACAAACTATACATGAAGCATTATATGTGTTTCGAGCTGTCAAAAGACTTCAGAAAGATTTATTTGGAAATAAATCCACCATTGTTGCATACCATGAAGCTTTATAGTTCATTTATCATCCTGAAAAATCTCTAGCCCGTTCCTCAGCTGCTATAGTTCTACGATGGAGTATTGCCTTGGGTGTCTATGAGTATACATTTCAGCGCAGAAGTGCCAAACAAATTCAACGTACTGACTACATTCCTCGACAATCATTACGTGATAAACCTGTTAATACTGTAGACTTTGTTAATGATACCCCTACCGGTGAGTAGTCCATATCTTAATCGAGAAACTCGTAGATACTTTGGACATGCCAATCTGAAAAGTAGATTTCTTGCGTGTTTTTTAAAACGGGATGAGTCATTTACTACTCCTGATGATATTTTGCAATTAAATGATAGTGTTGTTATTCCTCTTTCATTACGTAAATATATCCTTGAACATCTTCATAGTGGACATTTAGGTGATGAGAAAATGAAATCCTTGATAGGGCGCACATGTTGGTGGCTGGAGATAAATGCAGATATATTTCGTACAACAAACAATTGTGTAAGATTTCATAAGTCGAGAAATCATCCTTCCAAGTGGACTCCATGACCAGTATCAACTGAGGTCCCACAGAGAATCTAGTGCAGACTATTGTGGCCTATTTCTTGGTTAATACTATGTAGTTGTTTCCATTGATCCTTCCTCTAAGTGGCCTAAAGCTTTTCATTCAACTTCACTAAATTCTTGCATCACACTCCAAGCGTTAAGAAAAGGTTTCAGATGGAAGGGGGTTCCTGTGGTACTAGTAACCTATAATGGCTCTCAGTTTGCTGATGTATTCAGTACCTGGTTGAGTGGTGTAGGGTGTAGATATCCGTTCACTGCTCATAGGCAACCTTGTTCTAATGTTCAGGCAGAAAATTTCTTCGGGACATTTAAACTGTTACTAATCCCATTGCTACTTGTACATGTGATGAACT